GATTCCAAGCATTTAAAACAGGTTTCAAACATTTTAAGACACTTAAAAATGAGCGAAAACGGACATCGGAAAATCCATTGAAAAGCATTGAAGCCGACTCAATGCTTTTCAATGGCTTTCCGATGGGGGAAACATTGTTTCACTTAGCGATGTTTCCTATGGGGATTTTCGCTTAAGGACGGTAATCTGTTCCCATTGGAACGGATTAACCGGTTTTCAATGCATTCCTATGGGAAATGGTGTTTCGCTTAACAATGTTTTCCCATAGCGATGTTTTTTTGGAACCAATTAACATCGTTAAGCGAGGCACAACTGTATTGTGAGGGTTCTCTCTAGGGTGAGATTTATTGCATTTGGATGCTGTTGTCCATTTGAATGATGTTGACTGATTGCTCTCACTTAGGAAGACTTACTTTCGCACATCACCTTTTTTTCACACACGTGACTTTTAAATTCCTGTTGGCCAGTTCTTAGATTTAATGGGCTGAATCCAGTTGGTAGTCTTAACTAGAGTTGACTCAGTGAATCAGTGGAAGTTACTTAAGTGTTGACTCACCATTCAACTGGCCTACTGTAGTGGGATCAACAGTTTCATTTAACCAGTATTTACTCATCTGACTTACCTGGTGTCAGAAATTAAAATAAAACAAGTGTATTCACTTATTTCCCCCCTTCTAGGATGTATATCAAGATATTCTGCTGGTAGTATCTATTATTACCAATCCTATCATCATCAACACAATCCTCTTTTGGTGGAGAAGCTACAGAAAGAACTTAAACGATATTTGACTAGAAAGATTGGTTTTGAGGCTGTCATGCGGATAAGATGTACCAAAGGTCAGATAACTTGCTAGTGTTGAAGCAGTGCTTCCCGAAGTGTCTAAATGATTCATTGGTAATCATGTATGTAAATTTTTAAAAGATACAAAATCATAAGATATAATATAGTTGACAAACGATACATATTTCGTTACTTGGTGACTTACCACTTTTGATATGAAGCTTGAATGTGTGAACCACTTCCAAGAAATAACATTATGTCTGAAGTGTTCTGTGGTAAGTACTCTGTGGTGATTGTCATGTTTACAAGCCATTGTTTTATACTCTTGTTAGCAATCTTGTCAATTTACGCAAATGTTTTCCCTGTGTACTGCTGTCCAGAATCCTGCACTTTGTCAAAACAGATTTCAAACTGGAAATGCTTTTAAAGGTGATGGCCATTCTAAAAGCTTATCTTTATCATGAGAGCAAACAGAAAAGTTATGGAATTGTTTCTGTTCTTTACCATGAGAAGATTGCAGTGTGTGTAGTGATCTCAGTTCATTACAGAACTTCTTCCCCCTTGAACAATTTAACTGACTTTTTACTTAGACATTTTGGCGATGTCTTGTTCCATGAGGACAGTTGCATAAGCACATACCCAGGTGGGCTGTGATTCATGTGAGTGGTTGCACATTCAGTTTCACAACTATTATATGATAGACTGTGCAATGGACAGCCTGCCAAAGAAAGGAGCTATTTGCATGATAGTTCTTCTGCTCCAGAAAGTGTTTCTGCCCTTTCAGAAACATCGGCTATGTCCAAATAATCTAGTGCAGGCAAGTTTGGCCCTTCATATGTTGTTCCACAGCAACTCCCATCAGCTGTAGCTAGTGATAAAGGATGCAGGGAGTTGTAGTTCAACAACTAGTAGGCCACAGCTGTGCACCATTGAATTAGCTCTTCCTCAGTATGCCAGGAGTTCTTTTATGGATGTGCTGGAGTGCTGCTCTCTGCCCTGTATTGAATGCTGATCCAAGTGCTTTGGGAACAAGACAAGGATTGTGGTGTGAATAAGATCCCAAGAAAATTCCCAGTATGTCTAATGAGTGTCATATGTAACCCTTCATATTCCAGCTACTACTTTACATCCGTTAACTATGTAGACAGTGACATCCAGTGTAAGTAGATGTTCAGTGGCAGTGCATAAAGTATTTCAGACACTAGAGAGCTAAATGAATATACACCAGTCTTATTTCAGACTTTTAGTATCGAGAAGTAAATGCAGTCTAAAATTATAGAACCAGTTGTGTTAAAATAAATCCTAAAATAATACTCTTGCTTTTACTAGGCCTTTCTATTCACACCTTCCATGGGAACTTCTTTGTACGATCAACAGATCTGTTGTCTTTACCTAATGTGAACCCTGATGCAGGCTATGCTGTGCAAATGTCAGTGGAAGAGAGTCTGACAGACATGCAGGTGGTCTGTTTTCAGTCAGCCCTCCTGTATACCTCTAGTAAAGGTAAGGTTGTTTGGGCATCGAGACCACTAATGGTGTATGCTATAAGTTATTATGCTAGTTGATCCATTTCTGCAAACCAATTCATTTCTGACAGCACAAATGAATTAGTCTTTAGTCTACATAGAACCTCAGCTCTGACAGAATAGTATGCATTAGCCTGTTGCCAATAGTTTAATTACTGTTTTAATGAACTGAAGTCCGGTGTCCACTCTGTTCAACAGAACAACTGGTTGTACTAGAATATCAGCAATTAAGTGCCTTTTCTACGAGATTGGTTAAAAAGTGAAAGGCAACTTTGCAGAAAAAGCTTTAATTGTGTAAATTGGGCACATTTGTTAAATGCTGTTCAGAAATCATGGATTGCTTTCCTCTCTGTCCAGGTGAAAGGCGAATTCGTGTACACACGCTATGTCTACCAGTTGTTAGTCAGTTGAATGATGTTTATCTGGGAGCTGATGTGCAGGCTATTACTGGGCTTTTAGCCAATATGGGTAAGTGCTTATCAGTATGTGTGAATTATGTAGTATTAAAAGTTGATACTTCATTACTGCCATATTATTTGTGGGAGATTGGAGGTAGTAGTGATCATTCTGATTTACACTGAAGCATAATACTCTGCTCAGATAGAATGTGTGCATGTGACTAGAATACTAAAATAGTGTCTGAAATCCTGTTGCCATAACCTCGGCGCATAAGGCTAATGATGTAAAATCATCCCAGTAATTTTCAGCAGTTAAAGATTTCTACATCCCATTCGTCGCTTCCTGATGATGAAAGAATCACACAGGAGCTTTGTGAGAGGAGGTGAAAATGTTAAATTGCTAAAAAAAAAAAAAATCACCACTGCTGATGCCATACAGTACATAGGATAAGTTATGGCAGTGAGATTTCACCCAGTGTTTAAAATTATTGGCATTCTGCGTTATTCACTTTCTAGACAGGTATGGAGTTGTGTGTACTGTTTATGTGTGTGAGGAAGATTGATTGTAAGATTATATTCTGTGGGTACCTACTGTCCTATTTACTATGTAATTTTTTCTTCAGCTGTTGACCGCTCAGTTTCAGCGAGTCTGAGTGATGCTCGAGATGCACTGGTGAATGCTGTAATAGATTCCCTGTCTGCATACCGATCCTCTGTCCTAACTATTCAGCAGCCTGGTCTTATGGCTCCTTCCTCACTACGTCTGTTTCCATTATATGTATTAGCTCTCTTAAAACAGGTAAGAACAAAAGTGAGATGTGCTTGTGTATTGAGCTGGAGTAAACAAAAAAAAGCATTACTCTGAGAAGTAGGCAAAGTTGGGCTTCATCTTTTCAGTTTGAAAAATCCAGAAAAATCTGCCTCATTAATATATAAAATTGTAGGGACGTTAAAGAAGTAAAGACTACTTTAAATCATTAATTTTTGTTTTTTCTTGCAAACCAAACAAAGCTTATTATGCAAGACTTGGGACAGCTATTAAAATATTAATACAGATTTTTTTTCAATGACTCTTATAATATCTTCAGGAGGCTGAGAAACATCACTACAGTAAAAATGTGGCATTCTGAAATACTGTTATTCTGAAATTAAACATGGAACCTATCCTTGAATTTAGCGCAGTTAATTCTAACTGCATATTTGACCAACTTTTGTTGTCTTACTATCAAATATCAGTTTGATTAGATGATTGTATCCAAAATATAGAAAATTAACACAATACAAGCTTTCTTTAAAACAAATCTAGATAATCTATTTTAAACTTAGTTATGAGTTCAGTTGTACTAATCGTATTAATGTTTCCTCCAGGGATAAACGAGTTTTCTGAAGTACATTATACTTGTTCCTGGCAATGTCTTTCCCCTTCTTTGTCCAGTTTCCCTTGTTACAGTTCCTGTCTTTTTATTCACAGAAGGCATTCCAAACTGGGACAAACACTCGTTTAGATGATCGCATCTTTACCATGTGTCAAGTGAAAAGCCAACCTTTAGTGTACCTCATGCTTATGATGCATCCCAGTCTGTACAGAATGGACAATCTCACAGATGACGTATGTTTTTACTCAACTCTTGTAAATGTAGAGTGCACCCTCTGCCCTATCACCTCTGATTTATTAGGCCTTGAGTTATCAGGAATTTTGCAAAAGCAAACAAAAACAAAAACCCCAAACACCTTCGTTATTATAAAGGGAACAATGCAGTTTTTCTTCAGTTGGATTACACAATGTGAGTCTCTGTTTATGTAGTTTTTTATGCTCAATAGAATAGAGGAACATCAGGCACGAGTTCTTGAGATCCTGCAACACTGCTGATCTTGCACCTAACAAGCTTCTACAAGGTATAATTCAGCATTGTTTCACAAGCAGCTGAGAATTTTAGATTACAGGTATTGGATACAATAGGATTAGATTAGAATCACTTGATAGACTTCTTTAGGAACAACTTCCTTAGGAAGCAGAAGTAGAATGAATGGCGGCGATTCATGTATTTGGGTGATTCCTGGGGTACACGACTACTGTCCATTTTAGAGGATCGTATCCTCTTCCTCTCCCTCCTGTTACCAAAGGGTCGGGAAGTAACCCTCCTTCAAATTGAAGATTAGGGAAATCTTTTATAATACCGGACGATCCTTCTTGACCAAGCATGGGTTCTGTCTGTACCCCTCGATTCACTGTACGTCCCAGTTCTCTGTCAGTTAATAATCTGAAAACGTGCGCATTACTGTCCTCCTTTATATCCTCCCACACGATGAGATCTAGCTCCTCCCCTCCCTCCTCAGATAGACACACTTCTGCCGGTTTTTCCACCAATCCTTCCGCCTGGTCTGTTTCAATCAAGACCCCCTCTACACATCCACTTTCCTCTATGGTAGTCTCCTTCTCAGAGGACGGCGCACTCTTCTCGCCTTCACACTCCCCACATTTAAAAGACACTTTAAAATGCTGCTATATAGAGAAGCCTTTTTTGGCAACCCTACTTGACTTTTCCCCCCCGGTATGCCTGTTTTCTTTTATGCCTCCCGTTCCACATTTTAATTTTTACAATACTCAGCTCTTGAATAAAATAAAACTTACTATTTTATTTCATTTTTATATGATACATATTTTAGTTTACTGCAAACCGCCCAGAATAGTCCATTGTACTAGTGGGGTGGTATATGAATTTAAGAAATAAATAAATAAATTTATTTAATTTAAATTTAATTATTTTGGCACTATGTAAAATAATAGTTTTCAAAGTAGCCATGTCTCAGCATGTTGACAGAATTAAAGTGGGGGAATCTAAGAGTAAATATTTAAAGACGAACAAATTTGCTTTCAGATGATATCTCATGGATCAAGTTCTACAACTTCAGTAAAAGAAAGTCTTATGTATTTGTATATTTGTATCTGAAGAAGTAAATTTTGGATTTTGACACAACTGATTGTATAGTTTTAGACTGAATTCAACTCTTGATGCTGCTGATATCTAAGAAAAGTATTCTAAAAGCTTATAATGAAAATTATGGTCTGCTTCATAATTCATTCTTGGTCTTGTTTTTGCAGAAATAATGGAGCTTCTCTACCTCCAATTATATAATCTCTTTGATTTGATATTAGCAATTCAGTTATTTCTATTCGTATAGTAGTCTGTTAGGTTGTGTGGAATGTGTGTTTGTTGTAGATTGTTGGCTTCACAGAATTCTATAAGCTATTCTGCTTCATTTCTGACTTTTTGGCCAAGTTCTCTAATCATGTTTTGTTCTGTTTATTTCCTCCTTTTTATTCCAATCATCTACAGTTACCAGTACGTCCTGTTTTAGTATGTGATCAGTTGCCTCTTGCTCTTAAATAAAGCTTTCAGTTTCTTGTTCTGCAGCATCTGCAGTTGAAGCATAGACTGGAATGAGGGTTTTTTGATAGAATTTCTATAGACTTAATTGATCATATTTTATATTGTAGTCCCCAATTATTTTTTGCCATGTCTTGCCTCACAGTTAGATCCAACTCTTCTGAGTCTGTCATTTTAAGTAAACATTGTAATTTTTGATTGAAAATTTCCTATTCCAGTCCACTTTACTTCTTGTATACTATTAGTGTCCAAACATTCTCATATTCCATGTTCTATATATATTTTGTAGCATTAGACTTCCTTTTTGCCTCTATGCACATCAGCAATTAGATTTTTTTTGTCTTTAATCCAATTATTTCATTAGTCACTGCCATATTTGTACTCACACTAATAACTGAGTGCCATCTGACCTGGGAGGTTCATATTTTATTACCATACTGTATCTTATTTCATTTTGGATTGTCTCCTTGCAGATTTCTAGAGGTATAAATTATTCAGAACTTGTATAACTTTCTTCTGCACAGTTCTTACAAGGGTCCACTTAAACCTCCCTTTTGTCATCTGTGAAGGATCCTCTACTAGTATCACTTTCCTCTGCTGCCACTATCTCTGTTGCTTCTTCTTTGTTCGTGTCAGAAGCCCCACAGTACAATTAATAAATATAAGTTTTGCCCAATAATAGGTAACATCAAGTCTTCCATAGTACACACTGAGGGGGCGTAGTGTACACTGATATAGGCTGTGTGACATACAGTGGTGCCTCGCTTTACGATTGCCCCGCATTATGACGAGACCGCATTATGACGATCTTTTTGCGATCACAAAACGATGGTCTAAATGGCGTTTGTTCGCTTTGCGATGGTCAGTTCCCTGCTTCGGGAACCGATTTTTCGCAAAACGACGATTTTAAAACAGCTGATCGGCGGTTTCAAAATGGCTGCCGGGGAAACAAAATGGCTCCCCGCTGTTTTCTGGGACGGATACCTCACAAGACAGGCAGCGAAAACGGCTGCCCTATGGAGGATCTTCGCTGGACAGTGAGTTTTGACCCCATTGGAACACATTGAAGGGGTTTCAATGCATTTCAATGAGGTTTTTTTCGCTTTACGATGTTTTCACTAAACAGCGATTTTCCTGGAACGGATTATCGTCGTTAAGCGAGGCACCACTGTAGACTGTTCTTCTACACACTTGTAAATGAATATGTCAGTGCAAAACCTCAATTTTTTCTCTTTGTTGCTGACATGACTATTCATTTTTGAAGAAGAAATTAACTCTTATACTGGATATGTGTGCATCTTTAGTTGCATGTACAGTAATTTTTGGGAAATCCTATCAACTACAAATGTGTAATTCATTTGGAAAAAAACTCTGATTTAGAAAATGAATGATTTAGGCATTATTTAAAAAAGATAGGGGAAGATTACTTTTCTTTGCTTCGTGGATATGTACATATGACTATTTGTATAACTTTATAAAGGATTCTTTTCCTGTTGCTTATTACATTGTGACTGCAAGCCCATTTGTACTTTACACATCGTCTGCTGCTCTGTCTGCCTATTCAGAGATTAATATTTATTTCTGCAGGGGGCTCTCAACATCAATGACAGAACAATACCTCAGCCGCCTATTCTCCAGCTATCTGTGGAAAAGATAAACAGGGATGGTGCTTACCTCATGGATGCTGGCTCTGTAAGTTACCTTCTGAAGACATTCACACTGTGTACATTATGGTATATTGTCCTTGTTTCATAATTGTCTTTTATTGGAAAGTGGCTGAGCTAAGTGTGCAATGCACTAATATTTTCTGATTCATCCTTTTCTGACTTTATAGGTCATGTTTCTATGGGTTGGAAAGAATTGTGGACCGAACTTCATCAGCCATGTCCTGGGAGTTCCAAACTATGCATCAATACCACACAATATGGTAAGAATGTAATTCAGAGAACTTGTTGCACAGAAAAATTGGCCCATGGCCATTAATTATTTCTATTATAGTGCC